ACCTTTACTACGTACATAACTACTACTACTTACTACTACTCTCTCTCTACTACTACTACTACTATATATATATATATATATATATATATATATATATATACATATATATATATATATATATGGAAAAATCTTATATAAGGGTGAGGCCCTAAACATCAAATTAAGGTGCACCGCAAAAATTCGGTAGGAAAGGTTGCTTCGATGGCTGATAAACCGTCAATTCGATCATCTCGACCTCAAGGTGTATGGATATGACAAAAAAATAGATTTCAAGTCTTGAAAATAGTGCATCTTGTAATGTATTATCTAGACCATCAATTTTTAAGATTTTCAAGTACTCATGGATCTGCTTGATTTATATTATTTTTCTTTTTTTAAATTTTATAGTTAGAGATGAAAATAAATTTTCAAGCCATCACAATGATTTCTGAGAGTGAAATAACATATTTCGGCACTATTTTAAGGTGCACCTCTCTTTGATTGTTTAGGGCCTCAGCCTTATTACAAACCACACCCTCTATATATATATATATATATATCAACTTTCTAAGGCTTCTTTTTCTCAGAGCTTGTCTTGCCGCGAGTACAATGATGTCATCGACAAGAGTGCTGCCATTTTGATAATCAAGGTACTCTACAATCACACATTGTGGTTCCTAGCACGAAAGCTTAAAAACCTATGAACAACCATACATTGAAGTATCTCACTGTTTGGATTGGTCCATGCACAGGGTGTGATTGAAGAGGAGGACTTCCATCTCCAATTTAAACGAGATGGCTCTCAACTGTAGCTGGTGGTCTAGCTCTCTCCTTTTTGATGCCGCATATGCTATTTCATGTTGCCATCCAAAACAGAGGTAAGGACTACCCTTCATGATCATAAAGGGGCGTGTCAACGGGCATATACATATTGGTTACGAGTAGCAAGAACTAAACAAATGTGTCTAGCTTGCTTAAGGGGTGTGCCCATGATGTGGGTTTGATCCCAAGCTTGTACCGGTGAGAGAGAGAGAGGGGTGCTAACTAACTGTCCATGGATTGGAGAGAGAGAGAGGTGCTAACTGCTAACTATGTCCATGGATTGGTGGCCATATACACACAAAATGATCGACATTGGCCACTGCCCCAAACGTAATTGTTGAGTATAACACGAAGAAACCGTTAGAAAGGTACCCTACAGCATTTTTCAGTAAATGGAGAGGCTTTTTGAGACCGGGCCATATTTGACGTTCGTTCTGATCATGAAAGCTCTCTTAGATCATCTACAGAAATTAGGAAGGTGGGGATGTGTTAGCAGTTGTTTGTTTCGCATATTTATGTATACATAAAACCTGAGTGGTTCTCAAGCATGAGAAAATGGTCGTTGTCCCCCCCCCCCCCCCAGACATGAGAAGAAGTGAGCATGTATATAAAATGTTATTGAAGTCTATTTATTATTATTTTCTTGATAAGAAAGAACTTTTAGTTTTATGTTGAAACATACAGATTTTTGGATAGAAACTGTCGCTGTCCTCTTATTGCACAAAGTAATTTCTTTTCTTGATAAGAAAGAATTTTTAGTTTTATGTTGAAACATACAGATTTTTGGATAGAAACTGTCCTCTTTTTTTTTTGATAGAAACTGTCCTCTTATTGCACAAAGTAAGAAGTAAATAGAAAGCTATTTGTGGATAGAAACTGTCCTCTTATTGCACAAAGTAAGAAGTAAATAGAGAGCTATTTGTGGATAGAAACTGTCCTCTTATTGCACAAAGTAAGAAGTAAATAGAAAGCTATTTGTGGATAGAAACTGTCCTCTTATTGCACAAAGTAAGAAGTAAATAGAAAGCTATATCATGGGCTGTGTATTAAACCTTACAAACAATGTTATTGAAACCAGATTGAACTCGCTTGTTTGATCGCACAAAGTAAGAAGTAAATAGAAAGCTATATCATGGGCTGTGTATTAAACCTTACAAACAATGTTATTGAAACCAGATTGAACTCGCTTGTTTGATCTTGTGTGTATATCATGGGCTGTGTATTAAACCTAACTTTCCTTCTTTTTTTTCCCTGGGTAAGTATGAGCGGCGTGGAACTACAAACAAATCGTGAGACAGATTAAAATTGGTTGGCTTTCTTATTTGGGAAAGTTAATCAGTCTAAACTAATGGACTATACTAATATAAGAAATGTGCATAAGACCATTTGCTTTTGGTTTAAGAAAGACACATTATTAGTTAGATGTAAAATTGGGTGGGATCAAAATTTGAAATAAAATTTCTGGAATCTTATGACAGATTTTAATCCAATGGTTGAGAGAGATTGTGACCTTGTACTAAAGTGTGATATTATAATACATGACTTCATATATATTATATATAAGTGGGGAGTGATCTCATGCCACCATGTCATTGAAACGTACACACATTTTCATCCCAATAATCAATCCCAAAAAAATAAAACTCAATTTGCACCATAGACATGGTCAAAATGAGTCATCTTCAACAATGAATTTAGACCATCGATGAATTTTAATATCTAGGTTTTTATGTATTCAAAATCATTTTTTTCTTTTTAAACATCGTTAATCTAATGATAGTAAAGCTATCTAAAAAAAATTAGAATCATTTTTTCTTGTTAAACATTGTTAATCTAACGATAGTAAAGCTATCTAAAAAAATTAGAAATGAAAAGATTTTCTTCAAAGGCCTAAATCTAAGCATCTCACTAAAATAGATGGTTTATACAAATTCAAATTAAAAATAAAATAAAAATTGAAACATTACCGGACAATTGTAACCGTACGATGAAGTTTGGATAGTGATGACAGTAGGTAAAATCACTGTTCATTTTCGCCTATAGGCATTGAGAGAAGTTTTCCTATATATATATATATATATATATATAACACTGCGCAATACCTATAGGTGAAAATAAACAACGATTTCGTCTATCCCCATTATTGTCCAAAATTCTTCGTGCGGTCACGATTGTCAACTTTAACCTTTGAAAACCCCTTCTAACTTTAACCTTTGAATTTTAGTTTTTTTTTTACAAATCTAAATCATTTGAAATTTTAGGCGTGTTTTCATTCAAATAGGTGAATTTTCGAAAAATATCAAAAAAAATATTTTACATAAAATAAATTGATCAAAATACCCCCGAAAAGTATCAAGGGGTATTTTGGTTATTATTTTTTTTCGAATAATTTTTTTTATATTTTTATTATATACGTCTTGATGAAAAAAACACACACATAAAATTTCAAGTGATTTGGATCTGTATATAAAAAATAAAATTTAAGCACTACCGAACATCTGTGATCGTCAGATCGATCCAGATTCAATTTTGGCTGTTAGGCTCATATGTTCACATAAGTTAGTGGGTTAATCCCATCTTTTTTCTATATATATATATATATATATAACAAGCCTATATGATTTTCAATATCATAAATCTTCCTTTTGTTTTATCCCTAATTATATCATAAATCTTCCCGTTGTTTTATCTCTAATTATAAAATAGTATAGAACGAACAGATCTATAAACACTTGAAAATTAACTGTCTAGATAATACATTATAAAATACGCTATTTTCAAGACTTGAAATTTATTGTTAGAGATCAAAATGTTGAGAGTTCTTCAACATCAAAACGACCTGTTCTAATAAATTTTTGAATTGCGCCTTATTTGATAGTTTAAGGCCACACCCCTAAACAATAAAATTAAATGCGTATGTGTTAAACGGTAAAAATGAAAGGTGGAATGTTATATTGAGGCATCCACGCCCAACCTCATTCCCAAAAACCCTCCCTCTTGTAGAAAGCCAACTCAAGATGAGAGGTGAAGAAGATGGGATTGACATGTTAAAAAGACACAAAACTGAGAACCCATCACAGCAATACAAATAGAACGAGAGTTTTACCTCTTGAAGTCCATTGTCCACAGAGGCGATGAGCGAGTCACATAGAGAGAGCGAGAGAGAAAGGTAGAGAGAGGGAGGGCAAAAATAAATAAACAACAATTCAACTTAAAAACCACTCAGGGCTTCACGGTTAACGACTTACAAGACAATCTTGTTTTATAAATAGGACAGCCTAAACTCCACTACGTCGGTATCTCTAATACACGGGATCATTCTCCTTGCTGCAATAATTTTTTTTTTTTTTTTTTCTTTGTTTTTGGCGGGGTTAAGTCCCTTGCCACAAAATTAGTTTTATTGTTAAACGTCTCGCAGTTAATTCTAAGACAAAGCTTTCCATTTGACACCTATATGGCCATCAAATCTGAGTAGATGGCTGAAATAGCTTGAGCCACAATATCACAAGTTGGCTCTTGGACATAAAATCTTGATCCGGATGGCTCAAGGTGTTTTATTTTTAATTTTTAGGATATAAATCATTTTGAAACAAAATTTAGAGCATACATATATATGATGGGCACACATGATAATAATAAATATTTTTTGTGATAAAAAAGTATCAGAATACTCTTCAAACTTTCAAGGACAATTTGGTCATTTTTATGAGAAATATGTTTTCCATTTTTGCCCAGTCAACCAAAATGGCCACTTCAAATTTCAGCCAAAAAAGTCCGTAAATAAAATAAAACTAAAAATCATAACAATATTTGTCGTAATATTGTAATACGAGCAATCCCAACTTGTCAATTCAAAGCGGATGGCAGAGAAATTTGGTCACACATAATTCATGTCGTTGGAGTCATACAACAAGATTTCCCTTTATCTAAAACATAATCATAATTCATGTGGTTGGAGTCATACAGAAAGCTTTCCTTCATCTAAAACATAATCATAATTCATGTGGTTAGAGTCATCCAGAAAGCTTTCCCAGCTAACTGCTTAATATGGGCAAGCTTTCTATGCTTCCCCTATAACATAAAACTTATATGTTTCTCTTTATCCAACCCTCCATTCTGAATGGTTGGGTTAAGATTGCCCCAATCACAATGTCACGTGTCTACACTACTTTATTTTTATTTTTTATATAAAATATTTTGACACCAAATTTTAAGTGTCCAATCCTCCATTAAACTCGCACTTGTAAAAAAAAAATAAAAGCAATATTCTCAATAAATAATTACCAAGATACTCCTAAAAGTTTCAAGTTGGTCATTATATTTTTATCAAAATTTTATTTTAAATATTTTTTATAGATGCACCCCAATAAAAAGATGACATGCATATTCATACAATTTGTATTAAAAAATTAAAATAAAATACTCTAAAACATCGGATCTAAGATCAAATGATGAGCGGCACACTCGATCAAAATTGGACGACTGGATGGTAGGAGAAGCATAAATAGGGAAAGTATAGGAACCTTTCCGCTTACTATTGGCTGACGATTTTGGTCCAAAAAACGTAGCTACAAAACAAGCTAAGAACTAAAATCCCAGAAGAAATTTGAAAAAGATTTAGACTATTTTGGATTTGGCTCAAAAAACCCGACTTAAAAAAAGGGCACATACGTGCACATTGGGATAGACATCATTGAATTACAAATAAGAGATATTTAATGGAAACACGGGAATTGTGATCATCATTGAGACCTAAATTTTTTAAGAAAAACTCATTGGAAATGATCACAGCTAAGCTGGCCAGAAATAAAATACCATATTCCACAATAATGATTTGAAAGATCAAAGGTCAAAGTAAACACGAGGAAGAGATGGATGAAGAGAAATTGATCAATACAAATAAAATAATTTTCAGCATAGTTTCCAGAAAACTGTTTCAGAAATTTCCTTGACTAATAATGCAAGTCATATTTCGCAGCTATTTTTCGGTTTCAAAGATGAGTTTGTTTTGAAGATACTTAAAAATCACACCTTTTCGATATTTCTCAAAAAAAACCAGAGTCCTTCCAAATTAAAAAATCATGTTTTAAACAAAGTACTGCAACTTAAGTTCTAGAGAACGAAAAATTCTAGTATCTTAGAAAGTTCTAACATCACCAAGTTCATGCAAGGCTTCCAAATAGCAGGTTAAGTTGAGTTTCATGCCCGTATAAGTAAGAAAATTAAGTGGACAAATTCTCATTCTACATCGAATCTCAGGGAAGACATTTTATTAGAAGCACTCAAAAGAGCTGCACCATAGTCTTGCTTTTCAAAATTTTTGACTCTCAAACCAACTACAAAACCGTAGGTGAAGGAGAACCAACAGGGATACAGCCCTGAGGTCATACAAATATAATTAGATTTAAACACCCCAAAGTTGCAGTTTCTATTTTAAGGGAAGATGCTATTTACATTTTCTAACACTTCCCTTTTCACAATGAGTAGTCTCCAACCCGGCGAGTAAAGAGAACTGCAACGACATACATCTCCCATGGCACTCCTAAAACCTTCGTCTCATAGAAAAGCACGAATCGATGCAGCAACCTGTATTACCTGAAAGTGAGAATGGTAAGGAACAATACTCTCACTCTCTCTCAACAGTTGAAATGAGGTGCTGTTTCTTATAAATCATACCACTCATTGTTGGATCTTCCTGAACTCTGTTAGCACTGGATATATATTTTCAAAAGCTGTATATGTCTCTTCTCTCACCTGTAAGTTGACACCAACAACCAACAGTTAATCCCATTCTCTGCATCTTTAATTTCCAAAGGAAAAAGATTATATAAGGTTACAACCTTAAAATAGAGAAATAAAGATACCTCATAAATCCATCGAAAAAGGTTGTTTTAATGTTGAAAAACCCTCTTCTCAATATATGAATATGAACAAAAAAAAAAAAAAGATTGAGTCCCAGAAATAGTTCATCTTGCAACATATCATCTAGGCCGTCATTTTCAAGATTTTCATATATTTACGGATCTACTTGATTTTAGCCATTTTTTTAGTTTAAAATTTTATAATTAGGTATGAAACTACAAAGATAATCCTAATAATTTTTTACACCAAAATTACATGTTACGATAAAATTGGAGGTGGCCTTAATTGGATTGATTAAAGTTGCAACTTCATAGAAACCACACCAGTGGTGTTTGTATAGAACTAGGCTCTAAACAATCAAATTAGTGCCTACCTTCAAATAGTGCCAAGAAATATGGTTTCAATACTGAAAATCTTTGTGATAGCTTTAAAATATATTTTATCTTTATTTCTAAAGTTCATAGCTTCAAAAATAGTATAGAACGACATATCTACGAAATCTTGAAAATTGACATTCTAAAAATACATTACAAATACACTATTTCCAAAACTTGAAATCCACTTGTTTCTCATGTCCATGCATCTTGATGTTGAGATGATCAATTTGAAGATATTTGGACATTAAAAACAACATCTTGGATTCTAATTTGATTGTTTAGAGCCTCGGCTCTATATAAACTTTTCCCTTTCCAAATACGTCATTTTCTTATTATTATGCTTAATTAAGGGTATGCTTGAGTGCACCCAAGTATCTGAATATATCTAAATTTTGGGCAACTCATAAGAGTAGTAATTAGGGCTCCCACCAGGCCGGACCCAAAAAAGCCCAGAAACTATTTGGTACAGCCCGTTACAGGCCAACCCAAATATATATAATAAAAGCCCAGCCTGGCCCAGCCCGATCCGAAAGAATATATTTGGTTGGGCTTGGGTCGGCCCAAATATATGCTCCAAACCAACCCAATTAGAAGCCCTTTTTTTTTTGTTTTTCTTTTTAAGTCTATCTTGAAACTTTTCTTGTTTGAAGCATAGTTAGCAAATTCTGTTTAAAACACAATTTTTTCAAAAAACACCCACCACAATTTTTTCAAAAAACACCCACGATCTTTAGAAATCCATTAAGAACTCCGAGTTTTTCAAAAGATCTTCAGAAAATTACGCTTTTTTAATGGAATTGATACAAATCCGAGTTGTCATTTTTCAAAAAAAGCTTATTCCCGATAACTTTATCTCTTAACTTAATATTATTGAATTTTAATTCACAGACAAGCACATTAATAGTAGGAGTAAATTAAGAATCTTGATTTAAAGTAAAATTACATAAAACATTCCATCAATAAATTCCCTTAAAAAAACTGTACGGAAAAATACAAGTAATTTTTTCCCCAAAAATAAGATATCAAAACAATCATATATCTCAAAATGATAGGTAGAGTTAAAATGAGATAGGTAGAGTTAAAAGAGCGACCCAATGAAAAATCTGTTTTTTTTCTTTTAAACCCAGAGCATCCTTAATAAAATTAAAAAGCAAGAGAGATTAGATGATACTAAAGATTTAGGCGGCTAGGAATTCAATGTAAAATTCGAATTTGCTTAAGCATTTTAATGTTTTTTCCTATGCATAGAGAAGTTAGCATAACATTTTGGATAGACCACTATTTCACATATTTGGGTCTTTGGGTCTTTATGTTTTGTTTTAGCAGCAGTCCTATGCTGAGGACCTTGGTTTACGGTTTCCATTATTTACTAATGTAGAAATCTATGATATGTTTCGTCTTATAAAATAAGCACTCTTGTTGGATTTATTGAAAGTTCAAATATTTAATTGTCTCAAGTATTATTCTATCGACACTAGGTAATAAAATAATTGTTCAATAGCTTTAATATATCAATATAATAATTGCAAATTATTACATCATCTCTACATTTCCAATTTTTTCACTGCATTTCTTTGAAACAAATATGAAATAATCATGATTCTATAACTAACCTTATTTTTTAACAATCCGTATTTTTACCCATTTTTTTGAAACAAACTCTATTCGATGTTTTGGTTTGCCAATATATTATTATTTCCTGATTTTGCTGACTATGGTTTGAAATAAGCTAAAAAAAATTACTAAAATATTTATTAGAATATTTAAAACCCCTTAAAAGCATTGAGAAATAAAAAATATTCGCAAGAGAGGTAAGTACATGTGGCCACTCACCCAACTCATTCGCTACCCCCACCGCCCCTCTAAAACCCCACTTGCTCTCTCTCTCTCTCGAGAACAGTTTTCTCAACCCCACCGCCCCTCTCTCTCTTTAGAAACTCATTTTCTAGCTCATCTCCCTCCAAAACCCACCGCCCCCTCCCACCTAAACTACCACTCTCTCTCTCTCTCTCTCTCTCTCTCTCTCTCTCAATAACAGTTTTCTCAACCCCACCGCCCCCTCTCTCTCTTTAGAAACTCATTTTCTAGCTCATCTCCCTCCAAAACCCATTGCCCCCCTCCCACTAAAATCCCACTCGCTCTCAAAAAACCAGTTTTCTCACCCCATCACCCCCTCTTTCTCTCTCTCTTTCTCACCCCCATCACCCCCTCTTTCTTTCTCACCCCCATCACCCCCTCTTTCTCTCTCTCTCTAAAAACCCATTTTCTCGTACATCTCTCCAAAACCCATTTTCTCTCTCCAAAACCCATTTTCTCTAGCTTCCTCAAGAAAGCGGTCAAACATATGGCTCTGAGTGCCATAGGGTTTTCACTTTAGGCCATGTGAGATTTGCTCAGAGTGCCTACTACTTAGCCATTCTTTGTTAAAAAAACCTTCTCCAATTCTAGGGCATAAAATGGTGTACCATGAGTTTGGTGGAATAAAGACCTCTTCTAATGCAGTATTGGGGGGTCAAAAGATTCAATTAAAGGCTGAAATTTGTCTCTATCTTCTCTCAAGGAAAAGAGAGGAGAAGAGAAGAAGAAAACGCGAACAATTTAGAGAGAGACTGGTTTTAAAAGAAGAAAGTTTCAATGGTGTTATGAACCAAGAATCAACGACCTCAAAACCTCCAAAAGGCCCACTGTTGAAAAGTGTAGAGTGTATTAAGGGAGATTTGGTCAAGCAGTACTCTGGTCTGCAGAGAGAGAGAGAGAGAGATGACGGATGGATGAGAGAGAGAGAAATGACGGATGGATGAGAGAGAGAGAGAGAGAGAGGAGGGGGAAGGCTTTCAGGTCATGGAAGAGATGGAGCCAAGAATGATTTCAGGCTTTTTTGGGCTGGCCCGTTAAAAGCCTGATCTGGCAAGCCCAGCCCAGAAACCCAAGGCTTGACCCAAACCATTGGCAGCCCTAGTTGTAATCCTGAAACTAAGTTAAGCACATTTGATAACTGAAAATTGTGTCCCCAAATATCTCCGAGAATTCAATACTTGAACTTTATTCAATACTTGAACTTTTGGCAATCCCGCTAATCACACCCCATTGGGTATCAGTTCTCCCTCAATGAAATTTTCGCTGCCATCTTCTCTCCCTGTACTATCTTCTTCTCATTGGAAAACCTAGACCTTTAATTTCTCAAAATCAGCAAAGAAATAGTTAATTAGGCCACACTATGATTCCATGTCCTCAATGTCTTCAGTGATATTCTCCTAATCTATCACATCATACACTTGTTTTGAATTAGCTCAACGGTTCAAAAGAAGATAAGCCGTCTTGCTTTTAAAACAAGAGACAGTCAAGCTCTTTGGGCTTCTCTCTCTGGAAATAGCGGCTAAAGTTCTCCCCTCAAACACTACCAGCTCTTTGCTTTTCTCTTTCTTAAAATAGAGGGGTTAAGCTCTCCTTGAAATAGAAAAATATTTTCTCTTTCTTAAAATAGAGGGGTTAAGCTCTCCACCTTGCTCTCTCTAGAAATAGAAAAATATGGTAGCTAAAGATCCGCTCTGATACACCAGCCACAACAGCTGCTGCTTTAATTAAGCTTAGTAGCCTTTTTTCTCTCTAGAAACAGTGGATGAGGCCCTCCCATCATCTCTCAAAGAGAGCCAAACTCCGCCTTTCTTCCTCAAAAATCTCAGACGACTGCATATGGGACTTATTTTACAAAATAATGCATGCGCCAATGGTTTTTATCATCTTTGAACAGCAATGGTTTTTATCATCTTTGAACAGCAGGCAGGCCCACAGCCCTAGCTTTCGACTCGGAAAGATCTCTTCCTCTCTCTAAGAAATGACAGCAGCTGAGTTTTCCATTTCGATCTCCCAAAAACTCAGCCATTAGAGGTCAACAAATCTCCAACAACCATAACAGGGTAGGAGACTTATCCCGTGTTCTCTGAAATATAAATGATTTGACTACCCCCTCTCCTCTCTTTAAAAACTTGGCAGCCCCTTGTTTAAAAACTATTCAGTCTCTTCTCTCACCCTCTACCTCTTCCGCTCTCTATAAAAACTAGGAGCAAGATGCAGGATTTGACATATTCAAAGAGGTGGTTTGTACAGAGCAGAGGAAGTGAAGCAAGCTATGCTTGATTTACTCATGAATCTTGAGAGATTATTAACTATCAATCTTGCTGGTTTTGTAACGCTAGGTGGGTTCAAGTCAATGGAGACGAGGCGATTCAGAATTTCTTGAACATAGTATTTAATCTTTACGTATGGAAAGCCAACGATGGCTGCCAACAGATTTCCTAAAATTTGAATATTTAAAGGAAAATGGTTTGATAGGGCTGCAACCCTATCAAAATAATTTAAACATCACCTTAAACTCACTGAAAATTGTAGTTTTGGCATCGAAAAACCTTCAAATCGATCAACTCGGCTTAACCATTATGGTTGTGAAAAACAAACTGGATTTAAAGCCCAAAAAATATTATCCAGACCGTCCATTTTGCCCTAAAAATGAGAGTCACGGATCCACATCTGTACTATTTTTTGAACTTCAAATTTCATGGTTGGTGCTGGAAATTGATTTTAGAACCATCATGGAGATTTCTGATGCCCAAAGTATTTTTTGGATGAGGATTCGAGGCGAGGCTTTACTTTGTTTTCATAAAGCCTAGGCCTTATAGAAACTGCATCCATATTTAACTACTATTTTGTCAATACCCTAATTCATTAAGAAACAATATCAAAGTGGATATTTTATCAAACCTTGGCTCCTGTAAGAACAATCTTGCCAGACACAAATATGAGGAGGACTATTTTTGGCTGCTTCATCCGGTAAATAAGACCTGGGAATAATTCTGGTTCATACTGCATCATTTACCAAAAATTGTAAATAAGAAGACTACAAAAAAGGGCACATACTTCCAAAACAGAATCAAGCAGAAGTATTCAAGCCTATTTTGCCACCAGTGGCCTAAAAATAAATGAGCAATTCTTACACTTGAGAAAGCACCGTGAGAAAATGCAAGCCCCTCAAGTCTGATAGGAAACTTGACATCACAAGACCCAACAATATTCTGAATCTTGAAGTCCTGAGGTTAGCACAATGTATTATAACCAGTAACATAAAAGGAAAAAACAACTAACATAGGGGTGGTATTATGTGAAGAAGCAACTAAACCACCAGGCTCAGCATGTTGTAGATATAAATAAATACCTTAAAGTGAGCAGCGAAGCCAAGCTTTTGAATTATGCGAGCATACTGAAAGAAAGCAACTGTATCAGTTCTTGTTTGAAATTGAACTTGAACTGGATCGCTATAACTCTCCTCTAAAAAAACAAGTACATGAATATTATAACTTTCACTGCCACTGAACTTACCTTCCTTGCTGCAAGCTTAGATTGTTGTTCACTCTTCGCTCCCGTGCAGACCTGAGCATTCCAAACAAGTAATCAAGTAACAATTCAGAACATGGAGTCAATAGACATTACTGACAACAAAAAAAAATCTAGAGTGAATTTCACAAAATCGCAAATAAATAGCAGGTTCATTTCTCTATGGCCACATATAAGGCATGGGAAGATACAACATGTAGAATAAAATAATCAAGAATTTCAAATGAGGAGGCCAGTGATGGAATGAAAGTCAGCAAATATAAAACTCAAATTTTGAATAGATTTTTACATGGTAAAAGGAAGGCTAAGCACCATGAAACCAGCCAGCATTCCCAAACCATTTGATATGCATGTCACAGTTTCCGTATGTCTTCTTCGTCATACACAAGCAGTCCTTTCCATTGTTCTATACAACATATAAGGACAAATGGCTCAAGACAAAATCTTATTTTCTTCCCCCCCCTCCTCCCTTCAGCAATGCACCCAAATCTTTTTGTAGGCTTATTCTTTACATTTCAATGGCTAATGGTCCTACTTATTCTGGACGTACCAGAAGATTCCAAACTACAAGTCGACAGATACATGCAAAGTAGCCAAGAACAAATGCATAGGCCAAAGGATTCATCCATCCTTAACCATAATAGTATAGAATGAGATGTTGATCTCTCATACCAGTCCTTGCATACCAGAACTGGGAACTGGGACACAGCATGTTTAGACTGGGATGAATCGTGTTCCCAAAATGCTTTCTTGTATGAGGCAAAAATGATAACAAAAGTCACTATTACATTTAGAACTTCGGCTGAAAAATTATATGGAGGCACAAAGGGTTGTGACAATACCCAGTTAACTTTGGATGAATTGATGTGATGTATATATTTCATATTATCCACAGTGTCCCTAATACCTTTGTCCTGTATTACTCTTAAGTATACAAATATAGAAGCATGAGCTCACTTGCTCTTTCCTTCTAAATTATCAGACGTCAGAGCCCATTTGCCATTGCTTGTTCTGTGGCAATTCAAAGCAAAGCCCATGACCCTCGTTACATAATTCAGCATTCAGTAGCTTATTATATTCCCTCGATTTATCTCTATATGTCATGAATATTTATTCTCTGTTGTAAAATTTTACATAGAGAAAATACATACAGACACACACACAAACCTCCAAACATGCTCATATCAAAATAGATACCAATGTTGCACAGTATCAACCATGTTTTATATCAAAATTTTACCAATACATCACACGTTATGGGTTTACATCAGGAATAAATATTCCATAATGAGTATATAGAGAGTATTGGATGCTCAGACCCAACATCAGCCACTTGTTTCGTTCAACAGGTGCTGGGGGATGAGTTGTTTTCCATCTTTGCATGGTGGATTTTGGGCGTGAGTACTCAAAGCGCTTATACTACTTGTATGACACAGTCACTTATATCTAATACCCAACTCAACCAATAAACTTACACACACAAATATTTCATACCCATAACACCCCAACTGAAATGCATCCAAGACCTTTTTTATCCTGGCATATACAGTAGCAGCATCAGTCCCTTTTCCATACCCTGCAATTGCTACTGGCAACTATGTCCTGAATATCCTCTGATATACCTTAACCCCAAACAGTCAAACAAACATAGGCAAAAAGACAAAGATTCATCCATCAATACCCACTGAAAACGTTATAAACTCAAAAATGTCAAAGGCACCTAAAAATTCCAACTATTTAATTGTAGTCTATACCCACCCTTATTGTAAAGTTTGTCGAACAAAACCCTTTAATATAGATAACCCCTAAAATTCCAACTGACAACATTAATCATTCTTGTTGTGAACTTTTTTGAACAACCATCTAAACAGCCCCACATTACACATGCCTTTTCTTTTGGTGCTTTTCATGTGCTCTGCTCTACCTGCAAGATATGTACCATAGTTATTCTCTCAAATGTTCACATTTATTCATGTTTGAGTCAGACAAAAGGAAGCCACCTACCAAAGTGATATCCTCGCGAAGCTTGCACATGAGTACTAGCATATTGATTGTTATAGTCTTTTGTTTATGATAAGTTTAAATGTCATTGATATGTATGATAGGTGTCATGGCTATCGTTCTAGAACTGTCATGGCCGATTGTATATTTATAAATATTCCTTGTTACATCTATATACAAAGAGTTCTCTACAGAAATTATAAGACTCTATCATGGTATCAGAGCCACAGATTTTCTGAGAACTACTGTCAAATTGTGAACTTCATGTTTGAGTCATACTATCGAGTCATGTTTTGACTCTCTGACTAACAGCCACCGCTGGTTCATGCGACTCTCCATATTTGTTGTTGCTTGTCTCCACATGCAGTCTTCTCACGTTCTTCAACTTGCCTTCAGCCACTGAAAACTTGATGAGTTCTCATAAATACCTTCAGCAATCTTCGACCTCTCCTTCCCTTGACATCGCCTGCCTCCTCTCTTTCTTCAAATATTTCCCTCGTGTTGGCTATTGAAACCCTACTCCCATGTGATTTGAAAACCCATAGGTCATCCCCAAGAATCTATTGTGATCAGTTGTTTTCTGAGTCTGTCTTGTGGTAGATGAAAGCTCTACATCTAAACCTTCGATCAGTACTATCTCAAAGCACCTCGTAGGCCTTTGATTCTCCTGCTCCTTGGTGGCATTGTGCATGCCTCTGCAAGCTCAGCCGACAACCATCTGCCATTGCTCAATGCTCTACACATGGGTTTCCATCTCTATCAGTTGTGAGCCATCCCTCTGTGAGCTCAGCCGACCACCATTGCCCATTGCTTTAGGTTAACTCTTTTTTTTTAGAAAATCCAATGGCTTCCTCCGATTCAGTTCAAACTATTACTATCAAACTAGATGGGTCAAACTATAGTCATTAGTCCTATCTTATGCGGAGTTTTCTTAAGGGAAAAAGGCTACTAAAGTATATCATTGGTAACAAATTATATCGTAGAGCATCTAAACATTAAAGGGGGAGGATTTTGAATCGAAGTTAGAAAAATGGGATATAAACGACCATAAAATTGTCACATGGATTGCCAACTCTATTATACCATTAATTAGTATGCAACTTGTAAAGTTTGAAACTATCAAAGAGATATGGGACTTTCTTTCCTCTCGGTATGTTCAAACTAACTTTGCTCGTAAATATAAACTTGAGATGGATATTCGATCTATGAGGCAAAATAAAGGACAATCTATCTCTGATTTTCATTCCCAGAAATCCGTTATTTGGGATCAGTTGGCCTTAATGGAACAAAAATGGACTGTTGATGCTGAAATTTATTATAAGCATAGAGAAGAGATGCACTTGGTACAGTTTTTAATAGCATTACAAGATCATTTTGAATCCGTTCGAGCATCTATTCTCTACCACACTCATCTTCCATCTGTAGATGCCACTCTTTTAGAGCTAATGACTGAAGAAACCAAAAAGGGAACAATTGAACTTCCTATAGAAAATGAAGATTCTGTATTTTTTGCTCAAACACTTAGTCCTATGACCCCTACACAAACCTCTTCCTCTTCAACTACGACTGGAACGAACGGCTATGATATGTCCAATGTTCGATGCAATTATTGCAAACAGTTTGTACACATGAAATTTAATTGTCCTATTAGTGCTTTGTTCAGAAAACCATTGCCCCCGGACTCATTGCGGCATCCTCTTCAGGCCATCTCACTACCGAAGATGTTTAGGAAATGATCCGACAAGCTCTCTCTGGTATGGGTAACACATCAGTTGCTGCATCAACTTTGTCAAGAACCTCAAGTACATAACATTGATTCACTGACTCTATTGCCTCTAACCACATGTCATTCGATTTTAATTTCACGCATTCTCCTATTTTGTTACTAATTCTCCATTAATCCATATTGCTGCTGGTTTTGTTATGTCTGTAAGTCATGTTGGTACAATTGCATCCTCTCAATTATCCCTTCCTGGTGTTTTCTTGATTCCCAAACTATCAATGTATCTCACTTATGTAGGACAGTTGTGACCGAGGTTTTGACATTATTTTCTCCTCTGGTTGTGTTGCGTAGGATCACTTGATGAGGAAGCGAATTGGGACAGGGCCTAAGGTTGGTCGATTGTTCGTTCTAGAGGACTTACATGTTTCACAACATCTTGAAATTCTCTACTTGCTAGTTCAACTACCTCATTCTTCCTTTTCGATTTGGCCTAACCGATCAGGTCATGTTTCTTTTCCTAGGCTTAAGTATTTAGTGTCAACTGGCAAGTTGAGCTCTCTACAAACCACCAATATTGTTGGTTGTATTAATTGCTAGTTGGGAAAACACAATGCACTTCCATTTTCTAGTAGTGAAATGGGAAATTTACTTATGGACTGGGGTTTTCTACCGTTATTAACAGTATGGCCCAAAAATAGTATGTTATTACCTGGAAGGACGCATTCACGATTGTTTTATTTTTTGCCAAAATTGCCCTTGGTCCGATGTTTCAAACATCGCACCGCCTTTTTTACACCCTCAAAAACTTGCGATGTTCTTTCTCTCTCTTCCCTCCACAAAACAAAGAAAGAGAAACCCCAATTCATCGAAACAAACACCACATCAAGAATCAGCACAGAACATCAAGATAAACCAAGAATCATGATGTTTTCTATTGGAAATATCATTAGATGCGGGTAACAAACGTTCTGATGATCATAAAACACACATTGCACCATTACATTAGGGCTGCAACTTTGATTCAAATAGCAAGCAACGTTTCTCCCTCTAGAAACATCAATAGCGAAACTCAACTCTAGATGATGTTGGTGAGTTAGGTCAAACAATTCAGGAAAAAACTGAGATATGTTCCCCATTCCACCTAGCTATCTTCAAATTGCTTTGCATAAATGAGACTTAAAGCCTTTGATAACCCTACCAATTGGAGCGTCAATATTATAAGGCTCATCATAAACATACACCCTACCAGTTGAACTGTCATTGCGCTTAAAGCCTCTGATAACCCTGACAGGAACCCCTAAAATGCCTGCTA